AAGTGACGATTCCGTGAGGCTTTTGGATGATCTCTTACCAGACGGGGTTTTTGATCTCAAATGGGTATGTGGGTGTGGTCCTGTGGAATCAACGGAGGCTCGGATTTGATGATCGACGGGACGCGCAGGTGGTGATAGGGAGGTTGAAAGATGAGAAGCTGGAATGCGGGATGGTCCAGCGATGGGCGAATGTGGTCCTGAAACATCAATAGTGGCCAGAGTATTCGAAGATGGGCGTTTTCCCAAGGCAACATGAGATGGTCCAGCGAGTGGTGTGTAATTTGAAACCGGATTTTTTTCTAATGAGATACAAGATGGCTCAGCAACAAGAGCGGATGGTACTGGGGGATCAACGAGAATTGCCGCAAGAGGGTTTTGACCTTGTGTGTTGTCGTAGGACGGGAGCGCAGATGATTGAGATTGGTTGGATGTTGGGACTTTAGCTTCCAAACGAAGGCTACGGGCCTGGGAGATTGTGCTAGGTCCAAAAGCAGGCGCCAGAGTACGTGATCGCTGGGATTGATGTTTGGCCGGAAGGGTTTCATATCTTTTATCTGGTTGCTTGAGTTGTTTACCAGAGGACGTATCATCATGATGATTTGGTTTACGAGGAGGGTGCATGATAGGAGGTTTTACTTTGGATTTCTTTTTTGCCAAACTATCTGATAAGATATTGTTTGATTCAGGATAAAATGTTCTGTATTGATCGTCTTCAGCTTCTGGACTAGACGGGCCGGGAAGAAACAGGTTGGAGTGACGAGGTGTGAATTGACGGGTTTGTGCTTTGGAATGAAAGGTTGTTTCGTGACCGGGCTGGAAAGAGAAAGCAATGATTTGATTATTTGATCGATGCTTGTGTGGCGGAATAGTTCCTTGTTGATCCAATATAATTGCATTTTCCGACGGATTATTTTCAGCTTGCAAGTCGAGGTGTGTAGGGCCTCTGTTTGTTTGTTTGCCCAGCTCATACATTACAATGTCAGTATTGCGTGATTCGGGTGAAGTACCTAGCATCTCGTTATTTGCTTATGAAAATTTCATACACACATAAATCATCAGTACTATAGGACCAATGATCCTCATAGGAAGTGAAATTTGTGGTCCTACCTCTATTTGTTTGATCATCCGGCTCGCACATGATGAGTTCAGTATTGCAAAATCGGGCTGAAGTGCCCTGAATCTCATTATTTGCTTAAAGGGCAAATAATGAAAATTCCATAAAAAAGGAAACCATTAGTTTTTGTATTTACCTAATGAGAACTGAATTTTGTGCTGCTACCTCTGTGCGTTTGATCATCCACCTCGGACATGATGATTTCATTATTGCAAACTCCAGCTGGAGTGATACATGTATCATTATTTGCTTCAATTACAGTTATTGAAATTTCATATCATACAAAAGAGATCATCAGCACTTCAGATTAATCAATCTTAATGTAATTAAGAGCAGTTTTAGATGGAACCTCACTTTGAGATAAATCACTGTGAAATATTGTGTTTGTGCTATTGGTGAAACATTGGGCCTGAAAGTCTTTTTGATCAACGAGCTCAGACATGGTGATGTCATTATCGTGTGATTGAGCTAAGTCACCTTCCAGTTTGTCGGTATATGCTTTGATTCCACAGAAATCAACATTTACACACAAAACAACAAAGAAATTCTTCAGATCTGCCAACTGCCATGAGATGTGAGACATGCACTCTTACTGCAATTGTATCCGGTTTGGTACATTTCCGCCGTACCATTCCGATCAATATGGTGTAGTTGAGATATTGAATTGTACGAAAAGGTTCCTCTGGAATCTAGAGTCGAGGCGTTTTCTGACAGAGGACATTTAACTTGGAAGTCAGCAATGCGGTTGACACCTCTATGGGCTTGTTCACCTGTCTCACCCATCATCATATCGGTATTGTGCGTTATTGTGTCAGTATGTATCTTATTATTTTCTTCAGGTCATTGAAAAGACAAAAACAAAAAAGTAGAGTGATTGATTATGAATATCTCATTCTTACTGTAATCAATGTCGACATAAAAAAATCCCTTCATACCTTGTGCAATGGGTTGATGATTTTGATCCTCAGGATGATCATGCATTGGTTGATTTCTTGAGATTGTGTTTTCTTCCATGCGAGCAGGTGAAATGAGAAAATCGGTCTCTGTAGATACAGTGGCTTCGATGTTATCAACAGAGTCTAGTCAGTTCAGACCTACATCAGCATCATGGTTTGTAAAAAAATGATGTGAATACCTACGTGAGTTACTTTGCTTTCGAAGTCCACTTTTTTCAGCGACTGGGACCAGCAGTTTCACTACCGCTTCTGCATCTGCAAATTTGAATGCAATTGGGCCGTCATGTGGCGTTGTTTTATTCGCATTTGACCACTCGGTATTTGGAGGACTTTGATTTTGGGGTGATGTGACTTGGACATTCAGATCGACTCGTTTGCCTGGTGATCATGATATATCAGTGCAGGAACGTTCAACACGTTGGTTATAGTAGATTAGAATCAAAATGGGGTACCTAGAGACTCCAGCATTTGAGATTGGTCTGATACAAGCTCCTGGCCCTCTCGTTCGAGCATATTTTCTAAGATTGATAGAACACCGACAACAAAACATTGACACTGTTAAAAACAACTCGATGTAAGGAAGACACAAGGCCTACCCTTTGGCGGATGCAGATAGACCTCTGACGGGGTATTCAGTTGGTTGATGTTTCTGTGTGGGGTGCTGTGTAAGACACTGCGGTGGCGTAAGCTATCGGACTTGGAATTCGCCGAGTTAGAAGCTGTGATAAAACACCACAGTATATCCATATCAGCATAAGCATCGATGGACTTTTTGTGATCTTTCTTGACTAGAAAAGTGCGAAATCTACCAAAGTTATCTTCTTGTAGTGTTCTGCAGGGTAATTCCGTGGACACCATTGGATTTTCACTTGCAATTGGATTTGTACAATCCGGCAGTGATGCTTTGGTAAGATGTTGATAAGTTGACCGCGATGACTTGTCCTGGCCGATAACTATTTGTAATCATTAAAATGAGCCAATATGCAGATGTCAGTATCAGACAAAAAAATTACCAATATTGAGTGATTGTCACGTACTTGTAGAGCTGATCGTGCGAAGCTGGACATCAGAAATTTTTGTACTTTCATGCTCATCATCTTCTGTGATCGATTTAGGAGAACCAGACTGTTGCGTCTCATTGTTTTTCGCACTCAGTTGATTATCATTACCTATCCGTTGGGTGGCCAACACCGCATGGTTCAAAGTAAGTGGTTTCAAGTCTCAGTTTTGAAAGTTCTATGGCTATGTGACAAGAATGTCAGAAATTTGTTTGTACCTATAATACCTGACTGCTGGATTGAAAGCAGGTCGTTTGTACTCTTTGTGATGACCCCAGCTGGTGATTGGCAACGTTTTTCAGAGGTGTCTGGAAGTTCTTTATATTGAGGTTGATGTAGGGCAGAGTCTGACCGTCTCAAAACGTAAAAATGCTGTCCCAAATTTTGGGACCATCTGCGTTCTAGAGGCCCTGAAGACCGAATTACAATGAAATTTGGTATGAGTGACATACATTAAGTTTCTGCTAGATATGCGTAAATATATTTGAACATACCTTCTCTCTCTTCGTGAATAGAATTTGACTGATCAGATTGATTGGTGTATTCTGATTGAGAATTATGCGACTGAACAGGTGGGTGATGACGTCTTCGAGAGGTGGGTGGCAATTCCAAGGATTCAAACTGATGCTTTGCCGATTTAGAGCCTCTTAGAATAGAATTTGTTTCTTGTAATTGAGATATATTTCTCTTTAAAGACCGAGAAGATGGGGTTGGTCGTGTATCCATTTCAAAACTAAAAGAATGGTCCTTGAGCCACTGAGTTGACGATTCTAGTTGTCCTCGACGGGGAGCTGTTTGGATATCAGAATCATTCTGATGAAAACATATCACATAATCTGTAAGATCAAGTAGCATCACTCACATTTCAGGATGACATCATTAGAGTCTCCAACATTTCCTCCGCCTTCCTCGGGAATCACATCTAATATATAAGCCAGGGGATGTGATAGTATCAGTCATCTTATCAGCCAGAAGGGTATAGAAAGACCCACTGACCAAGCTGTGACTGCCTAGTTCGAAGCTTCTTTCTGGTAGCAATAGGACGACCATCTGTGGCGGTGCGATTTCTTGCGGCAGGTGTCTACCGGACAGCCTAGATAAGTCACTCTACACATGACATGTTGATTGACTATCAAATAAAAACTCACATGGATTGGATCCTGAACGGTCTCTGCACCAATCAAATCTGACAAATTGAATTGATCTACATGTTCTGAGTGAGTAGCGTGCGTCTGAATTGGTGAGTGAGCCCATCCTAGAGAGGTGCGTGTCGATTCTAAATGTTCAAGGCGGGTATTCTCAGTTTTACTTTCATCGGGAGGTTTTGCTGCACCGGAAGAATCCGACTGGTCAGAACGATCTGCATGTTCAGGTTGGCTATTGTCCGACTGAACAGGTGAGTGATGACGAATTTGAGAGACGGGTGGCATTTCCGAGTTTTGAAGTTGGTTCTCCTCAGAGTTGGTTTCATCAACGATTTCCTTGGCGCTGGTGAAATCCAACTGAGAAACTTTGTCCACACATTTTGATTGAGTGTTTTGCGAATCAAGAGGAAGACAGCATTGAGAGGTGGATGGCGAGTTTGAGTGGTCAAGTTGATTCTTCTCGGATTTTGTCTTTGCGCCTATAAAATCTGCCTGATCAACTTGTTCCGCACATTCTGATTCGGTAATGTGCAACCAAACAGGTGAGTGGTGACGTCTTCGAGAGGCAGGTGGCGATTCCAAGTGTTCCAGTTGATCCTTCTCGCATTTAGAGCGTCTCAAAATGGTATGTGTTTCTTGTAATTGAGATAGATTTCTCTTTAAAGACCGAGAAGATGGGGTTAAGCATGTATTCATTTCAAAACTAAAGGAACAGTCCTTAAGCCACCGGTTTGATGATTCTAGTCGTCCTCGACAAGGAGCTGTTTAAATATCAGAATCATTCTGATGAAAACATATCACATAATCTGTAAGATCAAGTAGAATCACTCACATTTCAGGAGAACATCATTAAAATCTCCAACATCTTCTTCGCCTTCCTCAGGAATCGCATCTAATATATAAGTCAGGGGATGTGATAGTATCAGTCGTCTTATCAGCCGGGCGGTCAGTGAAAGACGCGCTGACCAAGTTGTGACTGCCTAGTTTGAAGCTTCTTTCTGGTAGCGATAGGACGACCATCTGTGGCGGTGCAACTTATTGAGACAGGTGTCTCAGGAGCTGAAGCCAAAAGATAAATCTCTTAATCCCTGACATGAATTCATAAGCGAATCAGAGAGCTTACTTGTGAGATCTCCCTTACTAGCTGAAGTTTTTGAATTACCAGTCGGAATGTTAGCAGATAACGGTGAGGAGATGATGTCTAGAGGGCTCAGACAGAAGGTAGGATGAGAAGTAACACCAATCAGTCTTAGTCAAATATTCATTGTGATGCAGCATACGGTCTTCATTTTCAGATAGATCCATTTGAGAATTAGGTGATGGTGTACAATCTTCGTTGTCGGAATCTTCGTGGTCGGAATCTTCGTGGTCGGAATCTTCGTTGTCGGATACATCCATTTGATAATTAGGTGATGGTGTGTCTTCATTTTCGGAAAGATCCATTTGAGAATTAGGTGATGGTGGCTCCATATCCATCAAATCATCACTAGAATTGTACTGGTTCTCCAGCTCGTTGAAGTAATAGTCGTCCAGTTCTTGCAGATCAGGAAGACTTTGATTGCGATCGTGGAGATCTAGACCGTGATAGATGTTAAACACAGCAGTTGAATTTCTGGTGAGAACACATGTATTGATCACAATTACTCACCTTCTTGGGAAGACCTGCAGGAGGGATCTAACATATTGGTTCGTTGATTGGACATAAGGTCGGATGTGCAAGAAAATGTCTGAGTAGGTCCAATTGGAGCGACAAGTCGGATATTTCTAATTGAGTTTGTGTTGGGTAAGAGGCAGATTCTTGATTCACTTGGCTTTTGAGAGGTCGACTTGATTTCGCAGCCATGTCGCACCCTTTGATATCCCCTTGTTATTAACCGTAAGATCTTAGTCTGGACAGTTGAACAAAGAGACAAAGAAAAGGAGGTTACAACTGCGAGCGACTTATTTGACTGTTGAAACCAAAGAAAGACAGATGCACTGAGTTCAAAACCTAAATGGTATATCTGGTTTGGGGAAAGTGTTTTTCAAAGAGCCAGCCCGGCTCCTATGTACTGAGTTTCCGTCGGCCAGTATTTTGGATGTCCTTCGCAAGATTTGAGGGATACCACGGTTTGGTGAGGTTAAACTGGCTGTGATGTATTTACGTGTAGAGTGAGTCACCCGTGCGAAGCTCATGCGGCGGGCTGTGAAGGCTGAGGATCAGACAGTTTTTTCTAGTGATTTAAATGATTTTGTCATGTTAAATCTTGAAATGTAACACAAAACATATGAGCATTGAAAATTTCTTAACGGAGGCGCAAGTGGCTCTGTGTGGAGCTTTCTACTGTTTTGAGACAAAGCAACTTTTTTTTATAATTGGTAGAGAACACAAACTCCAAAAAACAAAAAACAAAAAGAAACGGAGGCACAGTTTATAATTCTTAGAGAACATAGATGAAAGAAACAAGATGTCAATAACTGCTCGGGCCAAAATATATACAAGTAGGATCCAAGGTGGTGTGGGCTTTGTTTATTGCTGATGTGTAGACAGCCCGCGCAGAAGTAGAGATAGAATGAAAATGAAAAGATAGTAATAGAACATTTGGAATCTAGAACGACAAGATAATTGTCAATAACTGAGAAAGCTGAGGAATATGAACAAACTTCGAACCTCTTATATTCCATAGTATGCACCATACTGATCGACCACCAGATATTCAAAGAGGTCAATGATTTCTGCTTTGAGAGTGCGGCACGGGATGCGCTGGGTTGGTTCAAAGTGCCAGATGATCTGTTGAAGAAGATCTCGAGTGGTCCAATGTGGCACCCATCCAGGCGAGAGGTATGGGAGAAGGTTGACTGGTAAGGTCCGTATTTTAGTCCAGGTGTCGTGATTCTCATAAGCAGGTGGAAGTGGACGTCTTTGCAAGCGCATTGGTTGGTGCCTGAGCTCGGCAAGTCTGGCAATTCTGGATGATCGACGGCGCGGGGAAACAAGATTGTTTCTAGACAATCGACGGTGCGGGGTACCAGGATTGTTTCTGGGTGATCGACGACGAGGGGTACCAGGATTGTATCTGGGTGTTCGACGACGGGGGGTTCCAAGATTATCTGTTGGTGGTTGAGCTACCGGCGTTGAACGGTCTTGCTGAGGTGGTGTATTTTCTACCAGCAGATTTTCTGCTGGTTGAGGATGATTAGGATCGATAGCTGTCACCAGGGCGCTGTTACTGTCATTGCTGCTTGAACAAGAACAGACAGCCGATACAGCACAGTTTCCGGTTACAGTGAGGTTTCCATAGATTTTTATAGACATGATGTGATCAATAATTGATTAAACTAAAATACGCAATGAGAATGAAACGTCAGCTGAAAAATTGTCAAAGACACAGCTGGAAGATTAAAACACAGGATTACACACGTTATACAGCACAATGTACTTCAAAGACCTAGATGAATCAGTTTGATCGTGAGTGGATGAATGTCGAGCCTGGGTGATGTGCAGCAAGGAGGTAGTCTTCCGAGTTACTTTGAAGGCCTTAAATATGGCAGACTCACCAGGCTTGACTCTGACCTTCTGACAATCTTTTACATCTTAGGTTTGTCAAATCCACGGCCGTTTTCGGCAGTTGTTTAAAGGCAGAAAACAAAATTAGGAACCACAGATGTGATTGTTGATGAACGGGACTCGGAGCCAGAGTCGCGAGTTGGAAGCTTTGAGAGAAAGGATGATGTCATATGGTTGTTTTGCTTGATGAACGTTGGTTGAACTTGAAGTCACTGGGGGGATAGTAATTTTAGGGTGTGGGAAAGAAACGGTTGTCTTCCTTGATCAACGGCGGCGATCGTCTACTTAAAAAATTGAAAAGGTCAGTACCGGTAGCCCTATGTGGATGTGCAAAAGAGAATATGTTCCCTTTGAATGTCTTACTTACACTGCACAGATGTAGTATTTTTCGGCTATGCAAAATGATTAGAATTAATGTCAAAAATGATTAAAAATGCTATGTTAATGCATAAAAATGCACCATTAATGCACCATTAATGAAAAAAAATGCAGCATCAATGCAGAAAAATGCAGTGTTAATGCACATGAAGAATGAATGCAGAATTCCACCTTTTTCAATTTTGTTTGTCCTTCAGGTCAATCATTTTTCACTTGGGAAAAATACTACATTTGCCCAGTGTTAGACAGGAAGGAAAACACACATGAAGGAAAAAGCAAAAAACCTTCTACATACATAGCAATCAAAAGCATCGGTCGGTTGAATACAGTTCTCGTAATTGGCTCTTCACCAGGACTGTATGAGGGTGAATGGAGGGGACACAATTGATCAGAGTTCTAAGCAATCATTGAGCGAAATGAATTTGAATGAGAGTTTGTTGATGGAAAGAGGTGACGAGCTGGAGTATTTGCGGATATGTTTACTGGAATAGATTTTGGCTTTCAAAATACAGATTGTATGGTGGAGTTTGTGTATTAAGAAATTTCAGAAATATGAGGGCAGTCGGATAAACTTTGGGTTTTGAAATCCAGAGGTGTGGAGTGTGTGTGTAAAATCAATAAGCGGTGCTGAAATGAATTTTGAGGTTCAAAAATCCGAGTGGTGAAGTGTATGTACAATGTATGTGTGTATTTGATTAGTATGAAGGTAATTGGGATGAATTTTGATTTTGAGTGGTGGAGTTATGTATTACATAAATGAATATATTACTGGCTTTAGCTGTGATGAACTTTGAGTTTTGAAATTCGGAGTTGAGTGGTGGAGTGTGTTTTGAGTTTCAAGAATCCAAGTGGTGAAGTGTATGTATGTCTATGTATGTGTGTATTTGATTAGTATGAAGGTAATTGGGATGAATTTTGAATATACATATAAGCACAGCGAAATGGATTTTGAGTGGTGGAGTTAGATATTAAATGAATATATTACTGGATTTAGCTGTGATGAACTTTGAGTTTTGAAGTTCAGAGGTGAGTGGTGGAGTGTGTGTATAAGATAAATATAAAGAGTACTACACACACTCCTTAGTGAGTTTTGAAATCTAGGCTTGAGTGGTGAAGCGTATGTATGTTTTGGGTACTGGGTTTAGCTGGGATGAACTTTGAGTGTCGAGATTCAGAGGTGAGTGGTGGAGTGAGTAATAAAATCGATATACATAAGGGACACTTGAATATCGAATTTGGAATGGAGACTTGAGAGGTGAAGGTTGTACATATGTATGTATTAAATTAGTTATTTATCAAGGGTGATGGAATGAATTTTGAATATACATATAAGGGCAGTGAGATGATTTTTGAGTTGTGTAGTGCATCTATCAAATTAATATAAGAAATTCAGAGAGTGGAGTGTGTTTATAAAGTCAATATAAGTTTGTAATATGTGGGGGTGTATTAAATTCCAGTAAGGGTAATAGGATGGATTTTGAATATATAAGGGCAGTGAAATAAATTAATATATTACTGGATTTAGCTGGGATGTTTGAGTTTTGAAATTCAGAGGTGTAGTGGAGTGTGTGTATAAAATCAATTTAAGGGGTACTTGAATATTGGGTTTTGACATCTAGACTTGAGTGGTGAAGCGTATGTTGTAGATATGTGTGTATCAAATTACTTATATAAGGGAAAGGGAACGGATTTTGAATAGAAATGTAAGGGCAGTGAGATGAGGTTTGAGTTGTGGAGTGCATCTAATTAATATAAGGGTACAGAAATGAATCTTGAGTACTGAATTTAGTACAATAACTCTTTACTGGTATGAAGTTTGAACTGATTTTTGGGATTCAAAGAGTGGAGTGTGTTTAAATATAAGTCTGTAATATTCATGTGTGTATTAAATTCCAGTAAGGGTAATGGGATGGATTTTGAATATATAAGGGCAGTGAAACAAACATTGAGCGGTGGAGTTATGTATTAAATGAATATATAAGGGTAACTGAATTTTGGGAACGAGATTTTGAATACTAGATTTAGCCCAATACCTTTATTAGGATGAATTTCGAGTTTCAAAATTCACTGGTGAGTGGTGAGTGGTGACATTGTGTATAAATTTACAATTAAGAAGGGATAATGAGTTTTCCATTTGAAATGGGTTACTTCTAAATGTATAAGGGTAGCTTTTGAGTGGTGTATATTAAATTAATTAATTGATATAAGGGTACTGGAATGAATTACTGAATTTCGCCTTCTTTGAAATTGGATTACTTTGAATATATAATTAGGGTAGTAAGCGGGATGAATTTTGGGTGGTGTGTATAATAAATTGATCAATTGACATAAGGGTACTGGAATGAGTTACTGAATTTTGCCTTTTGAATTTTGGATATATAAGGGTAGTAAGTGGGACAAATTTTGAATGTGTATAATAAATTAATTGATTGGCATAAGGGTACTGGAATGAGTTACTGAATTTCGCCTTTTTTGAAATAGGATAATTTTGGATATATAAGGGTAGAGGGATGAAATTTGGTTGGTGTATAATAAATTAATTGATTGACATAAGGGTACTGGAATGAGTTACTGAATTTAGCCTTTTTCGAAATAGGATAATTTTGGATATATAAGGGTAGTGGGATGAAATTTGGTTGGTGTATATTAAATCAATCAATTGATATAAGGGTACTGTAATTAATTACTGAATTTATCCCAATACCTTTATATCAACTGAAAGACATACTGTACCCTTATGTCACATATATACCATATATGTGATGTAAGTCAAAATCAAAGCACTGTCCGCATCTCAATACACACGCTCAGTACAAGCATTACCATACTGTATACATACTCAAGTTATGGATGATAGATCAAAAATTTAGCCTAAATATCTTCATAAAGATCCTTACACCACGGAAGGGTTTTAACTTTTTTGTCGAGGAGTGTTTTCACCTGGCTTCAGAACACTGCCAAGACCCGAAAAGCCCCGCATACATCACGCGGGGCCGCGAACCAGCTGGTTCTTCTGCATCAAGCCTACTCCTTGAACACGTCCTGAGCATCATGTTAGTTCTACATTGTGTTTCCAGTCTTTCGCGATGTGTATATCAATTCAATACTACAATACACCATATCCAAAACTTAGTCGCTGGAGGTGGTATTATCTTCCAAGTCCATAATTATGATGGCTTAAATGTACATAGTCTTCAAGAGTCAAGTCTTCGAGAGTCAAGTCTTCAAGAGCCATACATCATGGTAATATGTACCTAAATTTGATAATACCATGGCTCAAGGGATTGACAGAGGGGTATGGCTTCATAGAGGATTACTCCTCTGTATTTTCTCTGATCATGGAATCTTTCATTCAAATTCAAGATTCAATACACCCTTTTTTCAAAGACACAAACACAAGGTTTTTTACCATGACCTCAGATTAGCTCATTACCACATATCCGGCCCAACAAATGTTCTCAAACGTGTCAAATCCTCTCAAATCCCACTTCTGATGAGTGGAGGTGTTCATTCCCATCGATCATTTCCATGAACCCTGCATGATAAGATTCTAGTATCCCTTTAAATAAACCGTTGCTCTCATCCAAATGGGCTGCACAGACACGCAGAAGCCGCGGCAAAAGACGCTCAACTCCTCCAACACCATCCTCCAACACCAACCTCCAATAACGGTCATTAACCTTACAAACTTCTTTTCTTTTATCTTCTCCAGTCTTGTCCTCCCTCTGATGCCCATTCTTGTCGGAGATCAGCATGCAGGCCCTTTTCACATTGGCAAATCACCACTCCGCAAGTCCATGGTTCACTCAACAAGGGCGAAGAATGATTCTTGTTGAACGAATCTCGGTCGGCTTCTTCGCAGACAACATGACAACGTCAGAGGACCACCATAGCAAAGCGGTGAGCTCGGTATGTGTGATTCATTTGTATTTAAACATCACATCTACACGCTTCCTAAAAACTTTTTCCATATTCCACATTCAGTATATATCCAACGTTCAAAATCCGGCGAACTCATTCTTCCTTGTTTTAGCTCTCAATTTATCATCATTCAATCACAGTCCAATCTATTCATTTAACATGTCAAAAATCTCAGGCATTTACCATGGCCGCCGTGTATTGTCTCGTGTATCTTCTCGAATTCCGCATCGCTCTGGTCGACCTAGCAGTATTCCAGTGACAAGAATGATTGAACCATCTCGCAATTGTAAGATCTGATGTGATTATGATTCAGTAAGAAGACTGATTGATTGACTTATCAAAGGTATTGCCGCTTCGAGTTCCAATTTGACCGCTTCGAGTCTCAAAAGACGCCTCTCCGGGATTACTCAAAGTTTGTTTAGTTGAGGGGTTCCAAAATATGCGTTGAAGTTCTTATGGCAACCTCCCTAATTTCTCTAGACACTGAGACAAGCAATAAACGCCAAGCAAAACACGCAAAGACTACGTTTCAAAACACTGATAGTCACTCAATAAGTAACAGTCTATCAGACCCAGTCAAATGGTCCGCGTTTAAAAATGAGCTCAATGGTGAGTCCTTGATAGTTCGCTGCATTTAATTTTGACTTACAATTGTTGATTTATACGTCACAGCCACCATGGACAGCACCGATTTTTCAGATGCCCTGTCTGATCTTAGCTCTACGGAAACCTTCTCTAAGCACCGGTCAATTATGCTGGAGTCGCCACCAGCTGGAATATATTTGTTTCAAGCAGGTAAGTCAAAGTTGAAATACTTCCAAATGTACTCTAACACTGACATCCCACTTTTTGATTCTCAACGTGTGTCCCTGTTTTCTTCACACTCCTTACCAACAACAATCAACTTTTTAATTCGTGTCTGCAGATGAAGTCTGTAGTCCTACTTTAAAAAGGTGTCGATCCCTGTCTATTGGTGAGGATCTTGACGGTGAGTTTGGTGTCACGGTGTCACATATGTTGATTTCACTCCAATGACCAACCTTTTTGCTGCAGTCCCGCCAAACAAGCGAAACAGGATTGAGGATGACGGCGGCCAAATGTTCTCAATTCATCCATCAAATTCTAAACCTGGTATCAATCCCTTAAGGAAACCGGTATTACATTCTAAAACTGATAACAATTGCTCAAGGAGACCGGTATTACTTGCTCTTGAGTGTGGGTCTCAAGGTATGCAACCTCCATCAAAATATGTCGCTTTTTCTCTAAATGACATGTTTCCTTTTAGTCAAAGAACAACCCTACGAGCGACAGAGAAGCATCCTTGACCGCCCCGAAATCAATCTACCGGCTGGTTTCTTTTGGCCTGCAACTGACAGTTCCTACGGTTCCTCAAACAGCCACAGTCTTTCGTCTAGTCCAGTCTTTCGAGGTATTGACGATTCCATTGATCCGGCCCTCAAGATCCTGACTCCTTCATTTTCCCCCACATCAGCCACTCCTCCTACCGAAAACACTCACAGTATCTTGTCTAGTCCAGTCTTTTGGAGTGTTGACGATTTCATCAATCCAGCCCTCAAGACCCCGACTGCTTCAACTTCTCCCACATCCGCCACTCCTCCCAACGACAATCCTGCACAACCATCTACCAGCTCATTTGGCCACTCATACAAGAACACATCTGATCATTACTGTAAGTGTTTCCTGAAACTCAGGCCTACAATCGGGAATTCTGATGTTTGGTACAATCGCATTCAGCTTCGAAATGCAGCTGTCATCAAATTATGGAGGGTCTGTTGGAAGAAATACATATTCACTTTGAACGTCTAACAAAAGTTCTCGTGCATTTTAAGAATTGAACTCAGCAATTTATTCATTTGCAAGGTAGAAAGTAATCGCTCAGCACATTTTTTTTTGCGTTTGCGGCCAGTATGTAGGTCTTTTGTCTTTTTTCTCTATGATGTGAACAATACATGTAACTTCCTCTGCTCGTCTTGGCCACTGCTGTGTATATAACCAGAGATCTCTTTATTCAAAATTTTACTCATACAATCCAAATTTTCTGTTTTCTTCACATTGCTGTTAAATAGAGGGAGGAGAACGATAAAATTAAGTTTAGGGTTTGAACCCGAAATTAAAACCTGTGATGAAGGGTGATTAAGTCATAGACAAGAAAAGTATAGTAATATATATACATATACGTATATAAAAGATAGAGGACAGTAGATATTGTTTCTTTTCTATCTTGGGTTTTATTGATAAGATCGATCAATGATACTCTTTACGAATTTGGGACTACTAGCGTACCAATCCAGGATCCCGATTCCAAACCTTTTACCTCGGTTATTGGAAAGATACTCAGTTAAACCAGAATTGACACCAGCCGTACCATTTCCCCCCACAGCTAACATCTGAACAAATCATATCGAAAAAAAAATCAGTACTTGGATCACTAAGATAAGTCGACGGAGGATTTTTTAGACTTAACCTGTGGAGTCACCGGTGGAGTATTTCTTAGCGCCTCTCCACTTGCAGATGAGAGGTAAAGTTGATCTGAATGCTTTGGTCCGGACGCCCAAATAAGATTTTCAACTGTGATTTCTAATTTCCATGCCACGTTATCTTCAAATGTACTTGGATTTGGTAAGATATTATAGAAATCTTCTATATAAGCTGTTGCGCCAGTGCGCTCGTTGTATACCAACACAAAGTAATGTGCAACAATGGATTCTTAACAATTTGTATGACTCAAAATCAACAATCTGATATACTACCCATGCATTAACTACTTTGGTATATGTTGCATACTGTGACATTGTATGAAAGGAAGAGATGTTGTGGATAAAACTCCATTAGAGATTCAAATTAGGTAATTGATTATTTCAATCAAGAAAAGTGAAGTAAAGAGAGACTAGCCAAGGCGTTTATGGAGTGAACAGATTTAAAAAAGATCTCAAACACTCTGTCTTTGAGTGATCAAGGATCAAAAACCTGATCTTCTTTGTATTTTCATCGGGATAACTCTTGCACTTTTGGTTCCGTTATTATAGATTCCACGTAATCTATAAATTTTTTATGAAACATGACTCTTATACCTTCATACCATAAAGTCAATTTGTTTTAGACACTTCAGTGTCACGGAAAGTAAAACAGGACTTCAATATATGTCATAAATCTATAAAAAAAAGTTTTTCCATATTTGTTTTTACTTCTCTCAAAGATATCTCAATCATACCAGTGAGTGCATATGTTGCAGGCTCACATCATAGAACTCTTGAACGGTAGGTAAAATGCAGAGGAAGATGGCTGCCAATTGGATGATGACATGATGAGCCGGTGCTTGGGTGCTATCCAAACCATGATTTGAGTTTACATGGATAACAAATAATGTCCCCCTTGTACGGCTCTCGCTTTTGGACTATCTATCCCATAGTCCTCACATTTTCGGTTCGATCTTCTACATAACTTTGAAAGAAAATAAAACGGTTATTTCTTCCGTTATAGATTCCATCTGTAGTCCTCACAGCTATCCCGTTGTCTTCCATTAACACAAGTTATCCTTGAGAAATCTTGGCCGAAACATTCTTCAGTCTTCAAAATAGTGACTGCTTGCCTTTAAGGTTGGCAGTTATTTTCACCGTATCAGTCGTGCATTTGTTTCTCTTTCACCGGTTGAAATTGGAGGATCTTCAAGTTAGTAAGACCTCCCTTTGATCGTTCATGCAGACTTAACGCACAAGCTAGGTACAAAGTCCTTTGAGGGTCAAACATTGCTTTTTTGATTTTCTTTTTCGAATGGGTAAAAGAGCCTTCATATATATTTGCCTTCTCACTCCTCTCTTTTCCAACCTTGAAAAATTCTGATCATCATTTTGTGCCTCGCATCCCTGATTGCTTCACATAGTTTTCTACAGCCTTTCTTCTCTCTCTCTCTCTTACATCCTTTACCCTCTTCTACTCTGCACAATCTTTCGTGATATCTGCTATTACTTTGTATTTTATTCTCTAGCCTTGAGTTAGCTTTGATATATCATTTCGAGAATGACGGTCATCACCAATCTCTTTCGCTCTCTCAAGAAGCGTGTAAGAAAAGCGACACAATGGGCCTGTACGTTGGTTGCTTTCAGAACAGGGTCATATATTGAACTGACCCACTGTGTTTTTCTAAAAATAGTAATGGAGGCTCGTCGAGGTCGCACCTACTCAACTCAATCAGCGTATAAAATCACCGTCAACTTCCTGATTCGCAATACCTTGGGCATATCAATTTGCGAGGAAGGTATGAGCTCGGCTGCCATGCCATATGATGACATACACAGCTCCACGACCACAAGCACAGCCACTGTCGCGACTATGGATGCGTCTTCAATCTTTGGGACTTCTGACGGACTTTCAAGCAATATCTCAATCACGATCAGTCACAACATCACTCATACATCATATCCAGCTGATTGCTACCCTACTTCGTCCCTGTCGACTCCGCCTTATGTGATCGCATCTGAGCCCATGCAGATGGCTGACCCGGCAGACGAGTCCCTCCAAGTTCAAGTCCATTCCTTTTCAACGCCCGCTGATCCGAACACGATTGAGCCTATCTCGACAGCAGGCAGTCTAATTGATCCTGGAAGCGCCTCGCTAGAGCGCCTGGCACTCGAAGTTTTTGATGAGAAACCTAAGGGTACGTTAGGATTTTCCCCCTCATCATATGTAAATATGTGCTGACTGATCTTTCATGTTTAGTCACAGTGATACCAATTCATAAACGTCTACAAATCAATAATTCCGACAACCATTCAGATAACACTACGACTTCTGAAGATGAATCCAAAAACGATATGATTTCTGAGGACGAATTCGAAGATGATATAACTCTTAAGCGTCTACAAATCAATAATTCCGACAACCAGTCAGATAACTATACGACTTCTGAAGATGAATCCGAAAACGATATGATTTCTGAGGACGAATCTGAAAATAATATGACTCCAGACTATGAATCTGCAACCGACATGATTTCCGACGACCAATCTGAGAACAATATTTGCGAAGACAATTCTGATGATGATATGATTGCCGAAGACGAATCTGATAATGATATGATTTTCGAAAACCAATCTGATGAAGCCATGATTCTAGACCCTCTCGATGTGGTGGTAGACGGTGCATTTGATGCTGCAAGATTGTATGCTGAACCTCCACAAGCAGAAGTTTTTATTGAGCAGACAAATGGTCCGTTACAATTCTTTATTCATTTTCCATGTATGTTTTTCAAGTTTCTAAGGATTATATCACTTTTGTCTACCACTACACAGGTTCAAATCCAAACGCTTGTGGTTCATGCACCTGCAAAGAGGCCATTGATGAGTTTATGAAGGAGATCATTCAGAATGTTGAATCTGTAGCGCAAGGAACAGTCCATTTTCGATTCTGTCCTTCTGTCCGGGGTGACCCAAGGCGTTGGAGTGCGTAGTAATTAGCAGGTGATCATCATACTTTTCGGGACTGTGTAGTTTATAAAGAGGTGTATATACTATTCTTTACACTCAAATCACACTCTCTTACGTTGAATCACAAGGCTATGACTCTTTCCCAGTATCTTTTTCTTTGTATATATTTTATTTTATATAAATTTTCAATCTTTCCTTCTATTCTTGTTTGGTGTGTCTATATTTTTCCTTGTGAATACAAATGTGATTGTTTATATTTTTTTCAAATTACCTACTCATATGTGAGTAGGCAAGAAGCCCGCACTATGCTTAACATCAAACACCAGACATGAATTTCTCACACCCAGAGCAAATACTTCGTGGATAATGAAGAGCCAAAATGTATGAAACAATTGTAATCAAACAAGAAATGATTTGAGAAGTCAAGTTCTCGAAAATGTCAAAACTCCTAGCATCTTACAATATGAATGCATGATTCTCAGACCTACAAGGCAACTATCCATGTTGTGTAGGATCATAAAATAATTGTCAAACAGAAAATCATAGCATACGTCATTGATATATGCTTTGATATTATCAAGAGTTTATCCACAGGCAAAGTTCTGATAAGATTTGAGATATTGATGCGGCGGCACAAGACATGATATGTAACATCAAAGCTCATCAAAGACATACATAAATTACACCGGTGAGATACCGACAAACTTCAAGTGTGGAGGAAGAACCAAATATGATAAAATCAAATGTTGAAAAGTATGTATTTTGACAAACCTTTCATATATCCTTTGATCGCACAGTATGAAGGTTAATGTATTATGGAACGGTGTCTATGACTCTATGACCTACTTAATGTAGAAGTCTGAAGATTGAATAAATTAGCCAGTAGCACATACATACGGAGCCTATGTATGTAGCTACATAGCAGCCCGACTATACATGTGGCCCGACTACACATATGTATTCACCATTGGTTTCATTGATTCCCTTTCTTATGGAGACTGTTTAACAAATCTTTTATAGAATATCCTTTATTTATTTCATTCAACCAATCTTTCTTCTTGATTCACGCACTCATACAAGATTATTGTAGAGACCTCGAGTGTCATTTATCAGACCACGAAAAATTGAACATCACCAATACGCAGGCCTTTCAACTATATCTCAACATATGCTTCCAGACCTATTTGATTGACGTCTTGATGGATTCATCGTACATCTTGGGTCCCCTACGGGTTTGTACTTGCACTGAGCTGAAGTGCTCAGCCGAAAAATTCAAATACGATGGCGTGACCTATTCTGGAAAAGCAAGGGACCCCAGCAACGGAAGGATTCACGACGTAAAACTTCGTAGGCTTCGCCAACAGGAACAGCAGACCAAACATCTTGGAAACAGTACTGTCCATAGTTCTCGCGGAAGACTCGGTCATTTTACTGATGTACGTAGTATCAGTAGTACAGGCCTACGCCCCAGCCAGGCCCAAAACGCTGGGAATGCTGGGATCAGGAATCAAACAAGTTCATCATACGTAAGCTTAACATTCACATCCAATGCATCACCAGTCAAAATCAAGTTAAGAACTGATTTGAATTTGGAAATGTCTACAGGCCCGTCGAAGGTCCTTAAGCACCGGCGATATAACACCGCTGATTTCTCGCCCATCAATCCTAACCAATCAACATATTCATAACGACAATTTTTCATTATCTTCTAATTTCCGCCAAGCCTGTCGAGGAATTACGTTTGAGGTTGATAACTTCCAAGATCAACCCCCCTGCTAAATATCACACCTGAGCAAATTCTGTACCGACTCTTTCAAAATGCAGCAGGTCTATCTTCTTCGACCTTCCATTATGATCTCAATGTTGCAAATCGCCAAGTCCAGTATCTTAGGTGGTGCAAGCGAGGATGCAAGCAGGTCAGCACTGCATTTGACTAAATTACAGGCCCATCAGAGTGCAATCGAGACGAATCATACTGGCCGACGTTACTGGGAAGATATTCCAACAACCGTTCCGAAATTATACAACATGCTCAATCTGGATGTTGATCTATCTTCTGAAGTCTGCTGCCCCGAGTGTTTTTCTATTCACGGGAAAGCAATCACTGAAGAAAAGCCAGACTCCAAGCTGCACTGCGATGCGATGCGGTTTCTGAAAGACCCGACTCGATTGAAACAAGAACTTGGCAAGGTACTTCGCAGCAAATGTAACACACGACTTTACACACCTGGCTCAAAACCGAAGGCACTCCGTCTTTTTCACTACCAGTCACTCAAAACGTGGCTAGCAAAGATGATGTTCTTACCTGGCTTTGAGGACTCACTTGATGCCCCTCTTCTACGATCACAGCCTTCTGACCCTTTGATTAT